TGGGATTGGGGGGTCTGGCCCAGGGGAGGGGTCTGGGGGACCCGCGGGAGGGGCGGGGGCGGCTGGTATGGGCGCCTCCCACTACCCTTGCCTGTCTCCTCGAGCGTTCCTGGGGCGGGATGGCCCAGGGATGGGGGGCGCCTGGGACAGCGTGTTTGGAGGGGTCTGGTGCGCTTGAGTCCGGCAAGGCTGTCTCTCGGCGTGGGGCCGGGTCTGCTTACATATCTGGGCTCCTCGCCGCCGTTTGAGTCGCCTACTGTGTGCTTCGGCCGCACTTGCCCTCTTTGGAAGGGGCAGCTAACAGTGAAGTGAATGGCTGTGCTAGGGGGCCCAGTGCAGAGCGTCCCTTGCGCGTCGCTGGAACCCGGCTCTTCCACCTTTCTGAGAACCCAGCCCTGCTGGGTCGTGTCTCACTGTGTCCAAAGAGGCCCTGGGAGGGAGAAATGCCTCCTGTCACCCCATTATCACCATCAACCTTGCCCCTGTCCGTCCCCACCCCACCCCCACTAGACTGAAGCTTGAAAGGAACCTTGAAGCATCGATGTGATGATAGGAGCCCAAAGGTCCCTGCTGGACCCACAGTCACTGTCCCCCCTTCTAAATAGAACTGAACAACTAGTGCCGGCAAAAATAACTACATTCAGCAACTACCTGAGGAACGAGGACTTGGACCCAAGCTACCTAGCCTTTCCCCTTCTGAGTTGCATGATGTTGTCCTTGAGCAGGTATCTGGTGGTATCTGGTGTCTTGTCTCAGCTGGAAGGAGGGGGGTGCTGGTGAGAAGGTAAACTCATCTAAGCCTTTCCCAGCTCTCACCTCATTGCTTTCTTCATAGGGCTTCTGGGAACCCCGAGCCACTACTTTGTTTCTGTGGGCACAACCTGGGTGGGCAGAAATTTCCTGGGTCAGGTATTTTTGAGGAACAGGTGGAGCCATTGATGTCCACCCAGCTGCTGCCTTCACCCCCAGCCTTCTCTCTACTGACCCTCTGTGCCTCTGGGGTAGAGCTAGAGGGTCTGGTGGCCCTAGGAAGCCTTCGGAGGCCAGAGGGAGGCAAGCAGGTCCTTGTCAATCAACACACTCGGGGTCTGCCTGCCTCTCCCTTTTCTGCATCCCATCTTTCCCCACTCCCAGCTTCAAATGCAAGCCCTGAGCAATATATAGAAGGGTGAGTGCCAGGGAGTCCGTCTCAGCCCTGCAAGCACTCAGCAATGTATAGGACAGGTTCCTGGAGTCCCTCTGAGCCCTCCTCAGAGAAGTAGACTTCCTGAGTCATCTGTGATTGCCTTCATGGATTCTGATCCTCACAGACCCGAAGGCAAGGGTCTTACCAGCTCCGAACTTGCAGCTCATGCAGAGCGGGGACAGAACTGCTCTGCATGCAGTGTTTGTTGGATGGACTGATGGGGGAACCTGGCTGAGCATTTAGACTGCATTCCACCCATGGTGACTTTCCCAAGGAGACTTGACTTCACCTGCCAACAGATGATAGCCAGACAGACAGACCAGTGATTGCACACTTGTATCTGGTAATGATTTGGCAGGCATTAGCTCCTTTCAAGCCCACTGGGAAGTCCATGAAGGGGAAGATAGGTCAGAGGAGCTCCAGTGTCCATAACGAAGGCCAGCCCCTTTCTTTTTTTTTGGGGGGGGTGTTGAGGATGACTTGTCTGCCCCTTTGCATTGCTCCAAGCTGGCCAAGGTGACGTCTGTTCGCTCACAGTCTTGGCTTCATGTGCTGTGAATGAGAGCCTCTCAAGAGTGTTTCGTTTTGAATGTGTTAATGAGTGGATGCCTAAACAAACGGAAGGCAAAGCATAGACTCCTCCTGAGAAGGAAGGGCCCTCTCCCCACTAAGACACAGCGCTCTGGAAATAAGCTTGAGGAACAAGAAACAGGTAGGGTTCAGGGAAACCAGCCTATCTGTAAAGCCTGGGTCCCACTTCCTCCTCCAGTGTGGATGTATAGGGTGGGGCACCTGACTGGCACCAGGTTTGAGTAGCCTACGAGCTGAACCTTAGTGATGCACACCCACACTCCCTTCCCTTCCCCTCAGCAGACACCAGCACGCCCCCTCTCTCAGAGAAGGGTTCCAGGTCAGGGTTTTACTCTTTCTATCTCAGCCTCCCACCTCTGAGAGACCAAATTCTTTTACATGTGGAAACTCCCAGGAACTGGATGGAGCATCACCCAGATCTTCGGGATTCTTCTCATCTTTGGGAGGCAGGGATAGATGGGTCTCCTCCACAGTAGGCACCCAGAGCAGACGGTGACTGACAGATGCAAATGTTCCACCCGGCTCCCGCAGGCCACTCTCCCTCCCTCCCTTGCTAGCCTGCCTCCCGGCCAGCTCCCCCCCTTCCTTTATCTTATCAAAGCCCGGTAATTACAATTGCTATTTTGTTTCCTTGAATCTGCAATCAGAGCTCCCGCGCCTAGATGAGGGAGCGCCTGTCATCCTGATCTCTGAGTGACAGCCTGGCCACCTTTCCCGGCCGCCCCCACACTCCGCAAACACAAACACACACACATGCACACTCTCCCTCCTGCAAACACAAACACACACTCTTTGCCAACACAAACGGCCCTCTCTGCAAACATGCGCTCGCCAGGACCCAAACGCACCCCTGGCCTAGCCACAGGCCCCTCAAATCCACACCCAGGCCACCAAGCCTGCAGGTCGCAGCGACTCACACTTCCAGTGCTCAGCGTTCAAAGTGCTACCGACTTTGCAGATGGTTGAACTGCAAATCCCCACTACTGCGTTAGCCAGGTCGCACCGAGACCGAGAGCCGCCGTTCTTCGTCTGCTACCCCCATCTCTACCCCCAGTACCGGGTGGCCCCTCTTTCAGCGTTCTCCAGACACCACCCTATGCCTACATCCTGCAAGCTCTCTGAGGCCAGAGAATCGACAGCACTCCTGTTGTGTACTGAGAGTGCAGAAAGGGGGAATCCTGAAAAGGTGTGATCTGGAGGGAAAAACAATTCCCAAGTCTGTCTGCGCCGCGCCACAAGGGGCCGGGAGACTCCTGAACTAGAAGGCAAATGTGGATTGGGCTCCCACTGCGGGCAGGACCCAACTGGAAAACAGGCTAGAAATACAATGGGCGATCAGCGGAGTCACAGGGGGTAGACACTGATAGCGGGGAGGTATGAGCTAGGGGTAGATGAGTGAGGTTGGAAGGTTTCCGGAGATGGCTAGTCGTTGCACCGTGCATGTACCAAGGGGTTGGAGGCAGGAGCCGAAAGGTGGGGGAAAAAAAGGGGACACCAACTAACTCCTCTTCTAGCACGAGTGCTTCGCGTGAATGAAAGCATAGATGCATTCAAAATTTAGCGACTTATTCCCGCCTATTTCGCCTTAAATTTAGCGGTCGTTGGCCCCTAGGGAGTTACGACCACGAGCGATTTTAAACACGCCCACCAGAGGGCGCCTTCCTCTCCAGACTCTCCGCGAATGGCTCCTAGCCGGGTCGGTGGTGGAAACACCTGGTGGTAAATCCTGGGTTGGAGAGGCACCCACGACCCTGATCTCCGAACCACGAAAGGGCGTCTTTTGTCTTCCACTTGAGAAAGGGAGGTTGAAAACTTACCCCTAACTCATCACACTGATAAGGAAAAACTTCTGGGACCAAGAGGTTCCACTTCCTCTCCTCTTAACCCTATCCCTGGAGCCCAAGCAGCCACCCACTCCCAGTTTTCTTGTTTCATGTACCTAACACCGAGGTTAGTTAGGCACTACTTCCTATACTGTGGGGTCACTCTTGAAGTCGACCACCTGCCCCCAACCCAGCCTCTGTATTATGGAGAGGTCAGCTGGTGCGAACTGGCCTGATTCTCAGGTCCTGTTCTCTGTCCATCCTCAGCTTGTCTGGGGAAGTAACCTTTTGTTTGTTTGTAGGGCCTTGATGCCCCCCCTCAACACAGCTGAACTGCTGACCCCAGAGCTGGATGCACAGTCCTCACACAAGCAACCCCTGTCTCTTCTGGCACAGCAGTAGCCAGTCCCCAGGAACACCTGATTCTAGGGACGAGACAGAACGCGGAGTGCTGGGGCCATGGCCCCTCAGTGGAGGAGGCCGACTCCCATGAGCTCCTTTCTGCCCCCATATGCCAGGCCACCCGGATTCTGGTTTCCCTGTCACCCAATCTGGCCAATTCCCTCCATCTGGCCCTGGGAATCAGGTTTCTAAGGGCCCTGCTCTGCTCACCCTGCCTCAAAGACCAGAAAAGCAAAGACGGGTCCCCAGCCCACCCCTCACAGCCCTCTCCCTGGGCCGAGCCCCCTCATGGGGCTAGGGATGCACATTCCTCAGGTTTCTTAAGCCCACTTATCTGTCCCTCGCTGCCCATCAGCCTGAGTGCTGACAGAGGCCCAGACCCCTTGTTTGGAAGCTGATAACCTCCTGTGACGGCCCTCCCCCACCTGGGAACACCGAATAGGCTGGAATGGGAGGTCCCTCTGCTGCAAGGCCCTGGGGACCAGGATGCCACATTTTCTCACCAGCCCTAGTTAGGACCACCCTTTGCACTGCCACAGTGCCACCTAGTGGTCCCTAGGGAAATCCCAGCGTTAGAAAAAGCCACACAAGGATTGCAAAAAGCCATACACTTTATTTAGATCTTTATCTAAAAATGTAAAAAGTGTTAAAAATGTTGTCCTGAACTTCAGACTTTTTTTTTTTTTGCAGTGCTGGGAATTGAACCTGGGGGTTCACAAAACTTTCAATCTGGGCAGGTGGAGGGGGGGAGAAGGTCGGGAGAGACGTCATTCACCCCAACAGAAAAGGGAAGCTTCAGGGAACCTGGAGG